CGAGTAGCAAGCGGGCTAAGGGTGAGGAGTCTTGGGTCGTTAAAGCCCCAATACCCAGTGGCCCCAGTGACGGGAGCGTTATCCCTAGCTTTCTAGGGCACGTGGCCTCCCGTATGACGTTGTCTGGACCAGACAGACATGTTAGAGGCATATTGAAATGCCAAAACAGGCATGGAGCGCACGGCACTCTGAAGGAGTCGCTGGCCGAGATGGATCCCGAGCCACGTGCTTTGATAGATCAGTCGGGGATGTCACATCTGGCGGACTCCATGCATGCGCACCTGGACACTCCACTACTTTCTGCATTCGTGGAGTGCTGGCAGCCCGATACTAACTCGTTTCACCTGCCGTTTGGTGAAATGAGTATAATGCTGCACGATGTTCGGGCCATTTTGGGGATTCCCGTGGAGGGGCGTTTAGTGGCAGCGGACCCGACCGCTGAGACTCCATGCGTACTGCATGGAGATGCTGGGGGTGGACCAGAGAGAGCTGATGGACACCTACTGGGATCACGACACGGTGACCAATGCCGCCGTTTCAGGCGCATTCAGGTCGCTGGACGAGTCTCGCCCGGCTGACCAGGAGGCAGCCGCATGGCTGTGGATGGCGATGGGTACCACCTTGTTCGCGGACAAGAGTAGTAACAGGATTAGTCCGAAGGTCCTGCACGAGATTAGCGAGGACACGGCTAAAGTTTCGGAGTACTCCTGGGGCTCGACTACACTGGCATACCTATACAGACAGTTAGGTGTTGCCAGCAGGGGGGACTCCAAGGGACTGACTGGCTGTTTGGCTCTCCTGCAGACCTGGATCTTCGAGTACTTCCTGCCCTTTCGCCCCCACGAGGCGCCCCGGCCAGTAGATGGCACTCCCGCACGTTCTACCTGGTGGAGCACGGCGGTGACTCAGAGGTCCGCAGATCGCCTTCAGGGTTACCGTGTTGCCCTTGACCAGCTCAGGGTGGACCAGGTACGTGAATGTTATAAGTGTTATTTACATTTTGTTAAATATTATTTTTTAAAAAATATGAGTGTTATAATAAATGTTTGTGTGCAATTTTGAACAGGTGAACTGGTTGCCGTACGGCCGCAAACCCGCTGATATCGAGGCTAGGACCCTCTATGGTGGGTGCATTAGGTATCGCGACATCGTGGAGCCCTACAATCCTCTACGGTTGTTGCGTCAGCTGGGCTACGTCCAGCGTATCCCTCCTAAGATCCGTCGGCCAGCTAGTGTAGTACGGGCTTGGGAGTCTCGGTTGTACAAGGTCGAGCACTCTGCAGAAGCTGCAGAGTGTTCCTGGGACGAGTTCCCGCAGCTGTTGGCCGTCAACCTGGTTGCCTACACCCCCACCACAGTTACACCAGGGGAGGTCGAGCCGGGGTACTCCGAGTGGTTCGCTCGTGTTTCTCGTCCGAAGCTGTTGGGTGGCGATCCCACGGAGCCTCCCCCAGTCCCTTCGCGCGTCGATGCTTCTTATGTAAGTAATTTATTTATTTTATTTTTTTCTCAATGTGTGTTTTCATTACAATGTTTATTTATTGTAACTCTTCGATTTGTGGATAGTGGATCAAGCGTTTCGACGACGTCCACTCTGCGTACATATCGCGGTTCGAGCGTGTTGATCCTGTCTTGACGAAGGAGTATGCAGACGCTTGGGCCGGAGTTATGTCAGATTGGGATAGAGCGACGCAGCGTTGACGTTTTATGTAAATAATTTTGTTTTTTATTTACTGTACGCTCGACTTTTGGTTGAATTGTTGTTCTTTATTTACTCTACGCTCGACTTTTGGTTGTTTTATTTTTATTTTTTATTTACTGTTGGGTCGGTTGTTGATTGAGTTGTTTTTTTTATATGTCGTTACTCATTCACATTATGTTATAATTAAAAAATACATCAGCTCAAAATCGAAGTCAATGAAATAAATAAGTTCAAAATAACAAATAATCACAACCGAATATAATAAGAATATCAAGACTTAGGTGCATCACGAATCCTGATCCACGCAGCTATTCTACTGCTGTAGTAATTCTCCCAACCGTTAACCGACTCATCTCGAAGTGACGTCCAAAAAGGGCATATAGGCGGTATTGGATGACCGGGCGCCAAATTAACACGAATGTAGTGTGGGTAACAACCAAGGTGACACAAGACGATCTCTCGCTCCGGATATGTAGCCGTTGATGGTGCGACGAGAGGCAGTACAATAGAACTATAAAAGGTGGGATTGTCACCATGCTCACCCATGCCTATCAAGACCACAACTGCATTAAAAAATGTGGCAACGGGAAAGAGGTCGCACATAGTTTCCATTCAGTGGTTACGGCCACAAGGGCCCCCATCCCAGCGTATTCGATTGAGTGTTGCGTCGATCCCGTCAAAGAAGATGTTCTTGTACCTCGGAATGTTCCCCGAAATCTCATTTGCAATAATTTGTCTTACTAACCGGTACTTCTCCTGGTCACCAAAAATATAGCTCGCAAGTGCCCGAAATCCACAGTTCCCATCGTCGGTCACATCCAAGTAGCTCTCTACATAGTCGTGCACAATGTAGGGAATGCTATTCCAATACCGGTAACCGAAGAAGTCTGTCGAGAACGTCTCTATAATATCACAAACATTTCACGTCAGAAATATATATAATCGAATTTATTTATGAACATAATTCGATGAAGTGATTAAAACACAAAGAAATTAATTTAAAATTCAACCTGTCGGTCCTTCTGAACGCTGAGAAGACGAGCTTGTCGGTGCTTGTGACGAAGTGCTTTTACGGCCAACCGAACGACCTCTTTCCCGGTACTCCCAGACACATGGATCACGTTTCGTTGAATTTCTCTTTTTTGGTCGGCCT